ATTATATAAAAGAAGATAGTTTTTTAAAAAAAAATTAAATTATCGTTCACATATTATTTTAAATTACATAAAAAAATTAAACAAATTATATTTTAAAAAGAAAGGGAGTAACCAAAGAAGTATCTGAAGTATCATGAAATTGCATGCTAAAACTTAGGAAAAAAAAAATTTTTATTAGTGGCGTAAAGTCTCACTCACAATTCTTTATTAAAATAGGGTAACATACATTTTTGCTAATAAACAAAATCCACCTGCATCAATCAGTAAACACACTTCTTCTTTTTTATTTGAACTATAAGATGTTTATAAGCCAATTTTTATATATTTTAAGGTTAATTCTTTCCATTAATCTTTAAAGTTACTTTATATTAACTTGTTACATTTATGATAATTAATTTTTTTAAATGCTGATTTCAAAATTTAAATTATAAATCTAATTTATAAAATAACAGGTACTTATTATTGAATTTAGCTTGGCTGGATTCCAAACAGATTATTGTTATTAGTATTTACATGATTGAGCAGTCTTGTTGAGTTTCTCCACAACCGCTTCCAGAACCGCACCAGCTGTCGCAACCGGGTCTCCCATAACACGGAACGCATTGGCCTCGCCCGCCACAGGAACATGGGCCCCAAGAGCTTCCGCTACAGAATTTATAATAACACACAACGCATTCGAATTGCCCGCCACAGGAACATGGGTCCCTAGGCCTTCCGCTAGAGCATTTACAAGAAATAGTCCCCTGGACTTGTACATCTACAGATACTTTCACAGGCTTTGGCTTAGGCTCAGGCTTAGGCTCAGGCTTAGACTCAGGCTTAGACTCAGGCTTAGACTCAGGCTTAGGCTCAGGCTTAGACTCAGGCTTAGGCTTAGGCGGAGGTATCTCAATGCTCTTGATGCATCCACCACCCTTGCAGCATAACTTGTCCCTGATCTTCTCCGGCGAGCAGCTCACCACCTTAATTGTCACCTTGTTTGCCTTCTCATCATACTCCTGATCTCGTATTTCTTTAATTAATTTTGTTCACAACACAACGACTCAGTCCATTTGGCTAATCAATTCATAAATTGATATACGTATATCGTATGTACAAAAATTATATTTAACAAATTATGTATTAATTTATTAGGAGAGAACAATATTAATTGAAGAAAGGGAGTCATCACCAGGAAATTTGCAGAGAAGTTTTTTGATCTTTTTGTAGCATTTTGAGCACTGTAGGTCCACTACATTCAGCACCATTGTTGTCACCTGTAAAAGTATATAAATATATATATATATATGTTCATTGAACATCGATCACTATTAGACAAGGAATTTAATTTCAGAAAAAGGATTAATTACGAGCAAATTAAAATTAGCGCGCCATATATATGCATCAAATCAAAATACAACACTATATATATATATATATATCCTTAATTTTCATCAAGAGCGAGAGAGGTATAGCAGCCACAGAAAAGAAAGAAAGAAAAAATGTAGTATAAATTTAGCACAAACCTCCTCGGCCATAGCTGCTATATGGAGAAAAGTAATTAAGGATCTCCGGCTTTTAATAAGCAGAGCGGGCGAGGGAGGAGTCTCTGGTTTGAGGCAAAAGCCTAAGAATAGCCCCTTACCTTGATAAGTTGGACGGTTTTGGCCCCTCACCTTATAACATAACGGTTTTAGCCCCTAACCTATAAGAATGGAAGAAAATAGCCCCTTTTTGTAACT